CAAATACATCTCAAATATATTTCCTTAGCTGTAGCTCATTTCCTGGTCAACTTGTAAAGTTGTCTGATGCTTTTGTTGTATGGCTAATCTATGTGGCTTTTATATATGTAAAATGAAGTTAGACGTGCAATATACCTAACTTGGATAATTGGTTTCCTTTTTATGTGGATTTCTTCACTTTTAATTTAATAAGAGAATTTGTCCTCTCACCGAATCTTAATTCACAGTGGTAAGTCTTCAGAAATATATATTATATTATAGAATCCAATCTCCTGCTGTCAAATACACTTTATTCTCACATGGACAMTTTATGTTGTCAGGATGTCAATTATTTTGACAGGGTCCTGAAAGATGGCGTTTTCACATTTTTATTCTTAGCTAATATGGATAGGTAAGAGAATGTTTTCCCCCTCTGTTTTCATAGAAACATATACTTTCCCACAAGATTGGATGAAAGTGGTATGTTTGTAAAGCACTCTAAGCTTTGGGGAGGAAAAGATTTCCCTACTGCTCAAGACCTACTATTAACTGCCTCCAAATGGCTCCACAGTTGTTGTTATCTCCAATTGCTGTAATKCTCAGAAGGGTCTGAATCTTAAGGCACTGGAAATGCCTTTGTTTCCACCAAGGATGACTTCTTCTACTTTCTTTTGGCATACTGCCACTTGCATTTTGTATGTAGTAAGTTATGGCTACTGATCCATTGTCCTTTGCTCTTTGGGTAATGTTAGTGCCTGATGATTAGCAGGCTGTGAGTTTGTCGGGTATTTTATTTCAGGAGTAGGAGCAGACTGAAACTATTCTCAATACTCTTGTGTTAGCCATCGATTATTGCATAACAAGTGATCTCAAAATAAAGTGTCTTTAAACTATAGACATTTATAAACTCACACAGTTTCTTTGAGGAATATGAGAGAGGCTGGGGGCATGTGTGTTCTGGCTCAGGGTCTCTCATGAGGCGATGTCAAGGTGTTGGCCCCAGGTTATAGGCTTAACTTGGCTGTACTAGACTTTYCAAGATAGTTTACTTAAACAGGTATTAGCTGGAGGCCTAAGTTTCTGGATTCTTCTTCAATGTCTTTATGCTTTGTTTACTCCAGAGTGTGTGACCAAAGAAATTAAGGAAGAAGCTTTAGTGCCTCTCATAACCATCTTATAAGTCACACACTATCATATTTGCTGTATTCTATTCAGTAGAAGTGAGTCACTAGGTCTAGCCCAGGCACAGTGGGGGAGGGAATTAATTAAGCTTCACTTCTTGAGAAATGTATCAAATAATTTTGGGATATATTTTAAAACAGTTCTATTGATTTCCCCCTCTCTGTGACTGGCTATCTGCAATACACAAACCAAAGTCAAGGGTTTAATCAAGGGTCAGCAAATGGAAAGATGAATACTGCTCCTTTAATCTTAGGATAATTCACACAGAATTTCAGCCTTCCAATCTAACCAAATAGGTATCCCCCAACTCTAAAAGGAAGGAAGAGAAGTTGAATTGGAGAGTCAGATTTCTTCTTCCAGTTTTTCAAACAATATTGTCTTATGAGGTCCTTGTGAATATGGAGTGGCCAAGAGGTAGCTATTTCCAAGGTACACTCAGTAAAGCTTCAGAACAGAGACCTAGATGAATAGGTCAGAATAAGGCAGCAGTGGCCATAACTTAGTAAGAAGCACACAGGTTCTGTTCTGCTGCTGGTTGGCAAAGACCAGTCACAGATGGTGACAGTGAGGCTATGAGTAGACAGACCCCAGTGCTCGGATCAAGCAAGTGCCAATGCCTCACACTAAAATCATCTGCAGCACCACTGAGAAGTATGCAGGGTCCATGAGCAGAATTCTAAGCTTGGATCTCTAAAACAGAGACCAAAGTGGCTCTGGCCCCTTGGTGGCTTTCAGCACAAAACACCAAGAAGGGAGTACTTGGTGACAGATGGAGAGGATGCAGGAACAGAGCATGACTGTCAGGCCACAGAATGACGCATCGTGCCATAAAGACAGATGGTGAGAGGGTGCCCCCGTGAGCAGTGGCTTGCTGCCTTTTCAGTACTCACACTGCCTGTGTACCCTTCACATTGGGGCTTCCTCAAGAGTTTCTACTCACAAAGCATTTTTATTTAGAAGTCAAATGTAAGTGTGCCAAGCTTTAGTTCAGGCTGAGAACACTTCATACCTTTCTTGTTTTCTCACATTTACTGTCACATAGATTTCTGATACACTAATTAATAAGGTAATCTTATGGGATGATATAATTTATGAGACTGAGTATTGGAGAAAAGATGCCCATAAGATATAGAGTTTTCTTTCTAGTATATTCCTGCCATTAGGACAAGAGCCAAGAGGGTGGGAAGCATAGAATACACACAGATTTTTGTTTCAAGATACAGATAGAACCTACTTGTCATTATTTAAAAAAATTCATTGGATCTGCTAGTACCAAACATAGAGGCAGACAGGAGGGGTCTGCCTTTAAAGGGCTCTACTCTGGTTCTTCTCTAGCTGCATTCCTACTTACGGAAGAGGAGTTCATTAAGCCAAGGAATGTGCCCACCTGGAACTGACTGGAGTTGACTTGACACTGTACTTCACTCCAGGTGCTCAGCAGTAAGAATTCCCTGCCTAAACCCAGAGTACACTTTCAGAACCTCGGTGGGCTTCTCTCTAGATCCTGAGATATATATACCCCTGAACTTGTGGAATGCCCATGAAATGACTATTTTGGAGGTAGAGAAGTGGAACTAGAGCTTGGACGTGTGGGCTGGAGTATCCACGTTGGGGTTACCTTATAATTTGGRACTGCACTGACTAAGGGAAATAATGGGAAAAGGCTGCCCTGGTGGGGACCATCTCTCCTTAACCTACCTTTTTTTTCCCCCCCCAGCAGGGTACTGTGAGAAATCCCATACCAGAATTCTAAATCCCAACATGGTCTTTCAAGTTGTTATCAAAGTATACTTGTAAAAGGATATAATTTTTTTTTGTGTGTGGTGCTGGGTATTGAACCCAGGGTCTTGTGCATGCAAGGCAAGCACTCTACCAACTGAGCTATATCCCCAGCCCAAGGATATAATTTTTTAAAGTCCACAGTTTATTATTTGTTTTATAACTTTGACATATTTAGACATTTGATATGTGGGCCTCCAAGAGTAACTTATTCCTGGGTTCTACAAATGCTAGGGTTGGTCCTGGTTTCCCATTTAATACAAAATCAAGCCAAATCAAAGTGGCTTGGTATTTAATGCCTTTTACTCTTTAATTCCTTTCTGATCTGATCTCCCACTACTTTTCTGTAGGAATCTATCTACCAAACTGGCCAACTCACAGGCTCAGCCCTCATGCTTTTCTCTGAGCTTAGGTTCACATGATTTCTCCCCGAAGGCCTCCATTTCTACCCTATATTTGTATGGTCAACCCACTGTCTTTCCATTCAATTCAAGACTCACAGCCATGACTCCCCCCTCTGGACTCTTCTAACAGTTTTTGTCTGAGCCAATTATTGTCACTAAAGTGTGCAACTGTGTATTATGCACAAGGTGTGGTTATTAGATAGGTATACATCAATACCCAACGGTTTTCAAACCAAGAAAGGTGACTGGGGAAAAAAAGATAAAAGAGTATCTAGAGATTCAAAAGGTGAATAGCCAGATACTAAAAAAGCCAGTCAGCATTGCCAGTTGCAGAAAGGTTAAAGATGGCCCCAAGTAGACCACCAATAGGAAAGAGGTTTTTTGAAACCATTGACAGCAGCAGACTGTGTGGGCAAAAGCAACATTGTAGCAGAGAAAAATAAGAGATGAAAAAGTGGAAACAGTAAATATACTTTAATGTTTCTTAAAAAGAGTGATTCTGAGAAGAAAGGAGATAGGGCAGGTTGAGTGGGTAGAAGAGGTAAGGTGGTTTTGTTCTGTTCAAAGGTTGGGGGAGACTGAGTATATCTGTGGGAGAAAGGAGTCAGCAAATGAAATTGATAATCTGGAAAGCTGATTAAACCAAGTCTGGGCATGGCTGCGATCCTGTGCACAGGTGCAGGGGTTAACCTTGATGAGGAGAAAGAGCACTTGCTGTGGTAAAACCGGAAAGGAGAGGAAGATGAATGAAGGCTACAGGATAGGTATAATAATGAAGAGTCTAGACTTAAGTGTAAAGGGATTGGCTCTCATTGTAGAGGAAAGGTTAAAAAAAACCCAAGTTTCTGGGGCCGGTCCAAATTTCATATATTTATACAGTCTTCATTCATTCCTTTCATATGTATTCAGTGCTCTGCGTGTGCCAAACACTATTGGCTACTTGGGTCTACAAGTTACTTTTCATATAATTTGGGAATTTGTTATGTTGGTGACTCAAGTGAGATTTTTTTTACTCTATAGGAAGGCTTTAAGTAGAAACAAATGCATGAATCACAGGAGTCCTTTGTCAAACCAGATGTCCCGAGCAGGGGCTTGGAAAACATGGGCATCTTAACAATTGTCACCCTGTTTGTAGTAGAGAGGGAGAAGAGGCCGAAATGGGGGAAAGAGGGGAGTTTTAATCTGAATTAAATGGAAGTTACTAGGCGGGCAACCCAAGGCAGATACACATTCAACCTGGAAGACAAGAAATCCCCGCGCTACTTCAGGTCTCGCTGTTACCAAAGGTGAGCCTCGTTTATCCCAGTGTAGGACCGGCCGACTAGTTCCCCAAACCATGTGTATCTACGGCGGCCGAGCAGGACCAAACGCTAGCAAGGCCCGTCATCCATACCTCGCCCCCAAAGTCCATCTCCTCCGACTACTTCAGGTCTCTGCTACCTTTGCCCGTGGGTTATTGATGAAGGGTGGGGCGGATCACCTTTCCTCTCGTACAATAGGTCACAGTGGGTTTCGAGTCCCTCCTCCTGCGCTGCCGCCAACAGGCTGCCGGCGCTGTCACTCGAGGAGCGGCCGCGGCCGCCCCTCGCCGCGGCCCCGCCCCTCGCCGTGGCGGCGATCTCGCGGGAAGAGCGGCGGGCACGGCGGTGGCTTGGTCTCCCGGTTGCGCGCGGAGCTGGAGGTCTTTCCTCACACCAGCGCTTCCTCGCCGAGAGGCTGGAGCTGCGGCACCGCAGGCCTGGGCTACCGTTTACCTGCCGCCTCCTTTTCCTTCTCAGGGCTCCCAGTCTGCTTGCCACCCGACGCTGCTCAGGTGAGGAAGCCCAGCGCGCGTCTCCGCGGAGGAGCGGTCCGGGAGCAGCGACACGGAGCCGCCGGGGCAGGCGGGCTCCCGACGGGGGCGGCTCCTGGGGCTGCGCTGCGCTGCCTGGTGGGCGCGAGGCTTAGCGGGGCTCTGGAGTGCGGTGGGCGAGGAGGCGCTGCGGTGGGATCCGGGGGCGGGCGCCGAAGCGCGGTTTAGCGGGTGAGGGGACTCTGGAGGTGAGGGGGAGGTTTGTTGGGGGTCCTGGGGATCTTCTGGCTTTGAGTGGGGGTGAGTGGCGGCAAAGAGGGTCCCTGGTGTTCGGGGTCGGGGGAGATTTGTCCGGTCTTAAGATTCCTTGAGGTGGTGTAGCGGGGTTCCGGGTCAAGGGGACTGTTGATTGGGGTCTTGGGCTGTTTGGGGGCAGTGGAAGCAGTTTAGGAAGGTTCCAGGTGTCCGGGGGCAGATCACTGGGGGGATGTCCTTTGAGCGGTGGGGGGCGTCTTCGCATTCCTGAGATAAAGAAGCAGAGTGTCAGGGTTCCGGGGAGAGGGGTGTGTTTATCGCTGTCTCGGGACCCAGAGGGCGGTGTATCTATCTGTTCCGCAAGGGCGGCCGCCTCCGTCTGTGGCTGGGGCCGAAGGGTGTCCCGCCGGTACCAGAGAATATACTGGGGTTTCTACTTTGCCYAGAGGGTGGCGGTAACTGGGCTTGGTCCCCAGCCTTTTCTTTTTTAGCGGGGGTGGGGGGTGGGGGGGGAGATGGGGGGGCGACCGGGCTAGATAGTGGGTCCCCGGGCGATCTAGCAGCGTGGGCGCGGTTCAGCAGGCGCTGAGTCTCCTGGGGACCCAAGGGAGCTTTCCTGGCTTCCTTCTTGAGCTGGCCCAATTGACTGTCAGTGGCTGTTCAGCATCCTGAAACGGTTTCAATCTGGTCACTCTAGATGAGATTTACTCAATGTTTAGTTGGAGGATTGACCCGTATTGTTGCCTAGTTGTTGAATTAGTGGGTTTGTTCTGCAGTTCTCTTTTCTCTGCTCTGGGATCCCTGTGGGGGCGCGCTGGACTCTCTGGAGCTGTGGGAGCTGGAGAGTGGCAGTACCTTTAACTGGGCATGTGGTCTGTAGGTTCTGTAGGAGGCACGTGTCCGCGGGTTCAGCGAAGATACAGCTCCCAAGCAACTGGAAATTGCTAAGGGCGAGGAAGGCTATGTGATCTTGGCTTTCYTTCCTAGGTGGTCTGCTTTGATGATCCTACATTTTTAGATCTGTCCTGAAGTCTTGCCTGAGTGTAGGCAGAATTAAGTAGTGCTGGAAACGTGTGTTCTGACTTCTGTGTTCTTTGAAAAACATTTGTGGAGAGAGACAAGTTTAGCTTCAAAAAAAAAAAAAAAAGTATTGGAATTTGAAGCCCTAAAACTAGATCTTTGCAAAAGCATCTTTTGCAACCTGTTAAGGATGGCTAACAGAGCTCTTTTACAGAATCTTGCTTATCAGTTTTGTTGTGAAGGTGTACTTAGTTTTRGATCTTAAGGAGTTCTTGGTGACTAGCCCAATTTAGGTGAGATTTAAATAAACTGACCTGTATGTATGTGTATGTGGTTTAAAAACAAAAGTATAAATCAAAAGTCTGGCATTTACCTGGCATTTCTTCTCCTTAGGGAGTCTATTGTGACAGACAGTGGGGCCTCTACCTATAATAGTTTTGTAAATTTGTAATCTGGGATAAAGGACAAATTTGACTATGCAAAAGCAAAGTCTGCCTCAGACTTTTTCTTATTGACAGCTTTTTTAAAAGGACATTTTATTTCATCTTAGAATCAGAGAGTAGGGATAACATACTGAATTTTTGAATTTTGCAAACATTTTTTAAAAAACAAGGGAATGATGTGCAGGAATATTTAACTCTTTCAGGGGCTTAAAGTAGGTTTTTGTTCAAACTAAAATATCTGCTTGGCTTTTCAGCCATCAAGACCCATCAGTTGAGCAGGTATTTAACACTGTGGCCCCCAGAACTCTTAAGTATATCCTCCTGCCCCCCCCCCGATTTTTGAGAGAAAGACAAATGATAAATTAAGCAGATTTTAGAAACATGGCTTTCATGACTGCTAAGTAAGGATAGAATTATCAATCAAATATTTGATTATATGCTTTGTGTCACAACATTGAAGGTACGGTGATTTTAGCAGTTACCTAACCAACATCAAAAGGGAGACAAATAAAATAAACAACTTGTAATGATGCTAAGAAAGAAGTATACAGACAACTTGGGATTCAGCTATTTTTTAAAGTATGAGTGGTAATATAATTGATGTCTGTCACAATCACCAAAACCCAACAAGGTAGTGCTCTACTTTCTGAATTATTAATGAGAGAGTAAATTATTATAAGAGTTTGGGTGTTATATATTAATTCCTTAAAGATACTTCTGTATGTAAGTATAAGAAAGTCTGTAAGGATGCACATCAAACTTACATTTAAAGATTCTCTAGAAGGGATTTGCAGAGGCATGGTAGAGCTATTTAATTTTATACTTTTATCTTGAATTTATTTAAATGAGCACACATTAAGTGCAAATTAGAGAGTTCAAAATTTAAACATTTTGAACACTATGCAAATTTGTGAAATACGCAGTATTTATGAGGCTTGTGTTAACATTGCCACTTCCATCTGTTTGTACAAATGAAGAAAAAAGATATTTCAAGTGTCTAAAAATTATAGGGACAGGGTGAGGTGGTGAGCACAACAAAAATAAGATGTAGACCTAAGTAAAATGTTAAAAGATGTTGGATATTTAATTATATAAAGATGAATTAATCTTAGCTCTTTTTAAAATTGTTTCCTGAGTTTGAGAAAGGAGGTTTGTAGGCTCCCTAGAGAAGAAGAGGGAGTTTTTTTGGGTGGAGGGAGGTGTTCTTAGTGTGGGGCAAGTGTCAGGAAAGTTTTCTTTCTTTCTTTATTTTTTTGGTCAGTCAAACATATACATATCTAATAGATGTTTTTATTGTGAGACATATGAACTCTGAAAAGCTTTATAATATCATTATTACACTGCTGAAAGTGATAGTACCAAAGTGTCTTGAGTTATTCAAAACTCTAAAATCATAAATGTGATATATTAAAGCAATTTCTAGAAAAGAAATCATCAGACGTGAATGCCAGTCTTCATTGTACTACTAACAGCATGACCTTAGATAATTCCTTAGTCTTTTAGGGCCTTGGTTTCCATATTTACACGCACACATACACACACTCACACACACACACACACACACACACACACAAAGTAAGAGAAGTCTCTGTCAGTAGTCAATATAAGCTCCGTTCTAAGAATTAAACTACATTGGTTTTTATGTTGCAGATTTGCAATATTATATATACAAGAAGGGACAGATACTGTAGAGTGGCTATGTAGAAGGCTAGTTCTCAGGATACAGTTAGTTCTGTATAGTTTTTATATATTAGACTTAATTTTAGAAGCCTCTTCTTTTTAAAGATATATGCGAATTGTTTAACCCCATAGTATACATTCATGAAGGTGAATGATTTCCTTTGGGTCATTTAGTTTTGTCTGTTAAAGGATGGTTGTTTTTAAATTTTTGATCCTTGTTTCTATCATTATTTATCATCCTTATTTAACTCTGTATGGAGAATGACATCTTTAGTGGTTGCTTCCAGACTTGACTCCCTTTAATCCATTCATATACTACTGCCAAGGTAATTTTTCTAAAATGCAAATCTGTTCATCACTTGTTTATTAAAACCCATACTTCCTTTGTACCTACAGTATTTAGTCTTAACTCTTATCATTACAAGGCCTTTCATCATCTGGCTCATTTGTCTTTCTCCTACCGTAATCTCAAGTTCCAGTTTTAGAAATAAGAGCAGTTTACTAAATGAACATTATTGCTTCCTGACTCACTTTTATTCTCCCCACTGCTTAGTGTGCATTTCGTTCTCTTGTCTTGTAGTGAATTATACTGTTTTTTCAAGATAAAACTTAATGCTGTGCTTTTTAGGACTCCTATACCCTCTGATTCGCCATCTTCCCATCTCACTGAGTTATTCACCCAATGTATTTTGTTTATTCATTCTGTTAAGTTCATTAGTGTGCTGTAATTATGTCTCTCTCTCTTCCTGGATTCAAAGGCAAGTTTATATTTCTTACTAGTTTTTGAATTTCCATTGCTTGTTGACACATAATTGGCTCTCATTACATGTTACRTTCTCAAAACCAAGATTAATGTCTTTTTTTATGTCCCAGGTGAATTAAACTCAAATCTCAATGTTGTCCTATTTTCCTAGAACTTTGGGGTTTCTAAATTATCTTATTTTCTTGATTTATATTTAAGAACTGAGACTCCTGACATAATAGGAGTTAAGCTTGCAGTAAAATCTTATAGAATTTTGAGACAACCATTAATTCCTCTCTCTAAATTGCTAAGTAAGAAATTAACTAATTTAGGAATTTCAAATTTTGGACATCAGTGATTTTACCTTGGCTACTTTTTATATGAGTTTTTATATTGGCTCAATAATTGCTTTACATATATTCATTGCCTTTAATTTTCAAAACCAAATCCTGACTTAATAACTTGCCARTGATCATTATCTACTAAGAATCAGACAATGACTACATCTAAGTCTGAATAATTCCACATTCTATGCTTTTTCATAAATGCTACCCTGCTTTCTGAATAAGGCTACTTATTCATCGTTAAATTAACTGATATTTTGCATATTTTATAATTTGAAGAAGTAAATTGTAAGATTTATCCATTTACTTCTTCCAAAAAAAAACCAAAAAAACGCTTAAATGGAGAATTTGAGATTGGTTGGACTTTAGACACTATTTAATCCAACTCTTTCTTTTAGCAAGCATATAAGGATACTGACATGTAAGAATTGTCGAATGTCTTGCTCAAGATCACACAGCTAGTTGGTCTGTAAGATTTTCTTTGTTAAGCTGATTGTGAACACTGACATTGTTAAACTATTGTTTGAAAGGAGCACT